AAAGAAAGAAAAGAAAGAAAAGAAAGAAAAGAAAGAAAAGAAAGAAAGAAAGAAAGAAAGAAAGGAGGTAGATCTAAATCTGCATAGGGCTACCCACATGTAGTGTTGAATGAAAGAAAGGAGGTTATGAGAAAAAGCTTAACAGTGGTTTCCTGGAGAGGAGGATAATGAGAGACTAGGAAAAGGTATAAGGGAACATTCTAGTTCCCTCATAAAGATCTCTATCTTGATAGGAATTTGAGACACAGGTTGTGAATTTGTCGAAAGTCGGCAAATGTACACTTAAGAACGGTGCATTTCATGGTATGTAAATATACCTTTTAAAAAACCCTATAAACCAACAGTGAACTCTAGCTAATGATATGTAGGCTGAAGTATCAGGGAGGGGGCGGAAGGAGGAAATGTACTAACGTCTGCAATTTACTATGAAACGGATCCAAAAAAAATAAAGTGGATTGAAGGATGGACAGAGAGATGGTTGAGCATGTCATGAAGTTTAATAAAATATTAGTTGTAGAATCTAGGTGATAGGTATTCAGATGTTACACCATAACATTTTTTCAACTCTTCTGTTTAAAATTTTCATAATTAAATGTTGCAGGGGAAAGCAAATTACAGAAAAGTTTGTATAACATGCTTCTTTTTTTTATTAAAAAAACATGTATTAGTAATTTCTATATATGTACAGGAAAAAAAAAGTATAGAAGAAAACATACCCATCAAACTGTTAACATGACTGGTTATCACTGGGCTGAGGAAGGATAGAGCAGTGCAAAGAAAGCTTTCACATCTCACGTATGGATTATGTGTTCTTCTAAGTTTATTAATAAACATACGTACTTCTAAATTCTTTTCAACCAACTGAAAAATAAAGATTGCCTAGGGGTTCTGATTAGACACTACAACCTTGTACACAAGATGTTTAATTTAAGCTCTCTTTATCGCTATATTTATTACCCTAATATTAAGTGCATTTAAAATTAGTATTTTTTAAAATGCAGTGTAGAAGCATCAGCTGTAAAGCCACATCAGATCTGTGTTCCTGAAATCTGTATTACTTACAGATTATTTTTCTCTATGGAAAAAGACATTTCTTATTTAAGAAATGTCTAGTTAAAATTTAATATGAAAAATTTTAAATAAACATAATGTAACTACAATTATCTTTTTTTGCAAATGGATAACAGTTAAATGCACCTAAAAATAAGACTTTAAGGATCCTATGCCACATAATACAGAAACATATTCCCATGTAAAATTAAATGTAGACTTACCACTTGCAAATTCACCAAGATGTGTTGTAATTTTTCTGGTGCTTGCATTTAGAGGTTTTATCTTGATTCATTCCTTTTTTAGTTACATCCCAACAAATGGATCTCTCCTCAATAACAGTTCTCCATGAGAATCTATTAATGGTTTAACAAATAATGATCTCTTACAAAGATAAAAATTGTAAGCCACTAAATATTCTGTGAAAATGTCAATTACAAAAGTTTTAAACTCAAAAATAAGATGATTCAACTCCACCTGATTTTGTGTTTTCATATCCTACCCCATCCCCCCAAAATCTGCATTTGATTACCATTATACAGGAAAGTTCTCTCTTTTGAAACCACCCAGTTCCCATAAAATCAAATTAGTATTGTATGTCCAACATTTGGGCTTCATCAAACTTCCTGACCACAAATCACAAAATGACAACAGATTCTGAGATCACTGATGGGACAAAATGCAATGTAATGTCTATCAAGATGTGAGGCTGGAACTGTCCCATCACAGTTGATAAACATAAACTAAAGAGCTTAAAATAGAAGCAAGTTTTAGTTTAAAATATCTTAAGGAGAAAAGCTATCCTCCTGTAATGAACCATTAAGAGAATCAACCATAAAAGTTAGTTTCTACAGTCCAAGCTTAAACAATAATAAAGAGTTCCAGATAACATATACACTGATTATGTATTTTATTAATTCACTTAGCATCTATTGACTATATGCTATGCTTTTGCACAGGATACAGATAAAAAAGAGATGAGCCCCGTCCTCAGTGAAGACAGACTAGTAAACAGACCAGATCAATACCTCTGTAAGACAAGGTGAGATAGAGGGCAAGACAGCAGGAATGCATCTCATATAGGAAGGGTATTGGCTCATGGAACTTTTTTCAGTTATGGGAATATTTACGTGCATACTAGGTTGTAGTACAAAAGGTATTTCCTATGGTGAGTTGCCATCAGGAAAAGGTTTCTGGAGAGAGTGAAACCTGTGAATTAGCTAGTCAACGAATGAGCCTCTTCTGAACAAGGGAGCGAAATATGCAAAAGTATAGAAGCAGGCAGAGAAAACCCTAAGCAAACTGAAATTACTAGAGTCATTGCATATGGAAGAATGGGATAAAACATGTTTAACCTTTTGAATACACTCACCTCTAAGAAATATACTTCGTAACATTACCAAGTATACAGAAATATATGATATGAGAATGTTCTATACTCATTAAATGAAATACATCATTGAAAAAGTTTAATGAAATATTTGCCCTTACTACATGTGATGTACTCTGATACTGTTATTCTATTTTATCCTAGTTCATTTTAATAAAAATAGATGTTGGTCACAGCCCACTAAAGGGATTCCATGACCCACAACAAAAAGAGTAATCTAAGAGGGAAAAACACTGTTAAACTATGCTAATGAGTTTGGACTTTGCACTGAACACAGTGGAAAACCACTGCAGGATTTTAGGCGGAAGGATGCCATGATGAAGTTCACATTTTGGAAAGAACAGCAACACCATGAAGGATGGACTTGGGTGGATGGATAACGCTCCAAGACGGACTACACAAAACAAGCTAGGCTTACTGGTTAGCCAGGCGAGAAACGAGGGCATGTGGGAAGACCAAACAGTAGTGACTTGTAAGGGGAGTGTGGGCGAACAGGGGTAAAGAAGAAATACTTAGGACAGAAGACATGCTGGAAAGGGGCAGATTAAGAATTTAGTGAGGAAAACTGACAGGACTTGGTGATCAATTGGAAGCAAAGGGCAGACTGCAGGTTTCTGGCTTAGGGACTACGTGAAGGGTGGTACCATTCTCCAAGACAGGAAATGAAGGACAAGTTACGAGTTTCTTAAGCATACTGTTCACCACAGCAAAAGGAAAGTATTACATACTAAGGATGTGAGAAATGTATCAAAATCCTTAGCATTACATTTCCATTCCCCTTATACACTTCTTTAACTGGATTTTCTCCCAGCGTCAATTTTTCTATGGCCCTGATTGTTGGACTGTCAAATGTGATGTGTTTCTACTCTAACTTTCTAAGCTAATTTACACTGCTTTCCTTGCCTGCACCTTTGATTTCTTAGGGACAAAATATGGAATGACAAAGTACAGGAGCTGCTACTCTAATAGCAAATGAATGAATTCATCTTCTTCTTCTAGAAAAAAATCACAAGCAGAATTAAATGCAGTACAACAAAATGTCTGAGACGGCCAAAGTCAATAACCTGCTATGGCGATGTCTCCAGGGTGGCTTCCTGATGTCTCAGCAAAACAGTACTTCCTGTCAGTATTATTAGGTAATAGCCCAAGTCAAACGTCTATGAGTCAAACCCCGGTCACTCACTGGCTTGGACTCAAGGAAAACTCCTACTTTACATTTCAGTTATTAGTTTTCATAATGCTATTATGAAGCATAGCATTTACAACGGGATGCCCATTTTATCAAATTCAGCAGCATCACCGACATCATGGAATCAAATCTCACCTATGAGGTACAGAAACAATGCTAGGCTTAAAACTCCATGTAAATTTGGGATAACGAAGAATATCCAAAGTTTTGTAACTATAAAAGGTCATAAGACCATTAAAAATTTTTAACATTGTTATGTCTGAGAGAATATAATCAACAATTCACAGGGCAAACCAAAAAAAAAAATTCCACAGAAAGTTCCCAAAAGAAAACGGTTAATATATGGATATATAAAATTTAAACTTCTAATTGCACCTTAAAATGAAGTTATAATTATATACTTTTAAACATATTTAAACTTCTGACGTTATCTACTCTGAAAATTGGCCAATATAAATAATTCTACCTCAGATACCAAGCTACCGGGGCACCTGGGTAGCTCAGATGATTAGGCAGCTGACTCTTGATTTCGGCTCAGGTCATGATCTCAGGCTCCTGGGATAGGCCATGAATCACGCTCCACACTCTCTTTGCCCCTCCCCTTGCTCCTGCTCTCTCTCTCTCTCTAAAATAAATAAATCATTTAAGTATATATATATATAAATTTAAAAAGATTAAAAATATATCAGGCTATAGCTGTCTCTAATAATTAGCCAAGGGGGTAGTTCAATTTTTAAAATATCACATAGGTATTCAGTTTATTTCAACAGAGTAGGAAATTAATCTTGTGGGGATATGAAAAAAAGAGAGCCACATTCAAATTATGACACAGCCTCCAAGCTGCCGTTTCTTTTCAAGCTTCCGTTTAGCCATCTGTAAAATGGTGATAAAAATAACTCCTGGAATTGTTGTCATGCTTAAATGAGAAACTGCCTGACAAATGAAAAGCAACTCCCAAAATAGTAACTTTAAAGGGGAGTGAGGGATAGGAGAGGAAGAGAGACAAAGGTAAGTTTTACTTCTAATCCTGCAAACTCCAGAATCAAACAGTGTTTCTGGGTCCCTATCTTTAAAGTCGTGATACAATTTAACCACACCCCGGCTCTACTTCCTCTAACACTAAAGTCTGAGAACACTTGTCAGGGATGAGAAACCTCCCACAGCCCAGCCTTTCAGCTGCTATCATACTATGAGCACAGAGGGAAGTTTTATTTGCACGTGTTGGCATGGGGTCTCTTCAAGCAGAAAACTGAAAATAGAGATTTGATCTAAAATAGACGGACTGAACTAAAACCTGTAAACCAAAATCTTTCAAGGAAAAGCAGAAGGGCTGGTAAGTTAAGGACTAAAACACGGTTGCGAGCAAATCAGGACCTGATTTCAGAAGCTAATGAAAAATACACAATGAAAGTAGGGAATTTTGACTCAATGCTGAGTTCTCCAGGAAGACTTTGTGAAAATGTGGGTGGGCAAAGTGTCAAAGCAGAACATACTTGCACCATCAATGGTTTCAAGAACCCACTTCTAGAACAAGCCTTTAGATCACTACATCCAAAAAAAAAAACAACTCTACATTCTAGGCAAAACTGAACATAAGACATTGCTCCTCTGTGTACCTGCTTCATGAGTGAAAAATAAATGTAAATTAATACCTCTATTAAAAATATTGCACTGCAGTGACACACTTCATCGGAATTCCCTAACAGAAAATAAAAATAGCTTGGAAGGTGTGGGATGATATGAATTAAAGGTACCAAATACTGCTTCAGTCAGTATAAAATGTCTACGTTGGAATCTTCACTGAGGAAGGCAGGGATGTTGTGGGAGAGAGTCAGGAAAGGCGAGAACTAAAGTTGAATGTAGAGTAGGGACAGAAGGCAACAGATAACCTTTGCTTCAAACACAGCACAAGGAAAAACCTTCAGATAAAGTAAAAGCCAGAAATGAAGAGGCTCTGGCGTTTCCTGGACACGAACCTGACACGTTCTTCCAAGGGGAAAGGGAAACTAGCTACCTACCTCTAGTACCCACTTCCACCAAAACAAATTGAAAAAAAAAAAAAAAAAAGAGAGAATACTAAATCAGATTTCCTTCACACCAGGCTTTACCAAAGCAGGCACAGTTTAAGAACAATAATACTGAAAGAAATCATCACTCCGTCTTGCTTGAAGCTGAAAATCCTACAGGAGGTAAAGTTATTCATTCCATAATTATGGATAAAAGGCTTAAAATCAGAAGGCTGGCTGAGATCACACCCGAGCATGTTAAAGTTGGAACTAACATAAAACTAATCAGCGAGTGGCAAAATACTCATTTTTACCCAACATGCCCTTTTGTGGAAGCATCAACAGTAGGTGAAGAGAGCAGATACCCAGTCAGCTTCTTAAATGGGATGAGGTAAATCTACCTCCGAGGTAAAGCACAGGGCAAGAGGAGGCCTCAAGGCAGAAGAAAACCTTTGAAAAGGTCACGTCTTTTCCCTAGGGTACATCAAAAGAGGGAAGTAAGTAAATAAACCACTATCACCTTAAGATATTTCTGGCAAGGTAGCTACGATGAGAGCAGTACTACTTCACACCTGTGAATAACTAGGTTTATTTAATTTACCAATGATTCTTTTTTTTTATTATGTTAATAACCATACATTGCATAAATTTACCAATGATTCATAACGAAAAAAAGTCACTATGCTGACAATAAAGAGGGTTTTTTCCATTTATTCTTGTCTCTTACCTGTATTTTTCACTGATACAAAATAGTTCAAACATTTTTCAGCTTTAATAAGAGCTATAAGTGCACTGATTATTCTACTAGATGTTAAAATGCCATTTATATTTAGTGCACTTGAAAAACTGAATCTGAGACCTAATGTTTTACTAAAGCAATATAAAATTCCTTCATGCCTTAATATAAAAGTAAAACTCAGCTTTAGGAAAAACTCCCTGGTAATAAAGGTAGATTTTCTTCTGCCTTCCCTGTTATACCTGTTAATACTGATACTACCATTATGTAGCCTTCTACGCTGAAAAAGATTGCATTGACTCACACTCAATTACAATCCCAGAAAAAAACCTCCACGGAGACAATACTAGACTTCTCAATTAGTTTCTTCACTAATACAGGGCATGATTTTATCCATGCACTTTTCCACAGGTTCTGAATCAGTCCCTATGGATTAACGAAATCAGGCAGTGGGCAAATAAGTAAAAATGTCATGATTCACACTGATCACTCCTTCTTTAGAATCCACCTGTTAAGCTGATGGTTACAATGTGTGCATTTACCTACATTTGTATTAAATAAAACACCCCAGAGATAGGTAGGCAGTGTGACACCGTTACCAACATTTTGTTTAAAATATGCTCTATTTCTTTTATTCCAACTACAGCTTCTAAAGTATTTTACATTTAACAGAAATCACCACGGTTTGAAGGGACCTAATTATGATCCCATCGGTTTACATCCAAAGTGAGGAATTCAAATTGAGGAATTCTACACCAAAACTATTCCAAAAGTATAGAAATACACATTTTTTGTTATATTTTGATATAATTTTCCTAATACTTCTTCAGGTATATGTTTAAAATGTACTCTTAACATGTTAAAGGGTTTTAAATTAATTACAAACGTAGCACATGCCAAATACGTATGGAAAAGCTAAGATGAGCCTTAAAGAAAGTAGCCTAACTCCTTGGTTGTATAGATGAGAAAACAGGGTGGATCACTGACCTATCCATGACCCTACAGCTAGACTGTGACGGCAGTGGGTCTAGAATCTAGTTTTTCTTTCCACTACACTATATCTCATTTGGTTCTTTCTTTCCAATTGATTTCTCACCTCATCTCTTCCTCAAAAATCTTTTTGCCATTAAGAGGTTGAACAACTAAAGCAACATAAAACACCGCTCTGGATTTTATCTGTAAAATAAGTAAAATCTAAAGAAATGGGAGGATTTAACAAGACATTGCACAAAAAGCCAAGGAAGACACATACCAAGCAGTCATCAAGTAATAACTATTACTGTTCGTTATTATTATTATTTTTACAAGGAAGGTAGTGAAATTTTTTTTTTTTAAGGATACATACATATTAGCATCCTAGGCTGAGGATCCATCTGACACATCACCTTTTTTAACGTATACTTCATCATCCCTAGTCGTCTTTTAGGCTGTAACTTTACACTATGATTTATGACCCACCCACAATGACCTTAATTTTTTTTTCCTCTTGTACTTTTATGGACTGCTATAACTGCAATATTTTCAAGTAATAACCGGTCAGGTTCGCTCGGCCCTAGAGATACAGACATCCTCCACTGACTCACAAGGGATTTTAAAATGTGACCCAAATATAGCTTGAGAAACCACAACTTTTAAATGGACTCTCCACTTAAAACCCAGCAACCTATTTATTATAGTAAATGGTAACAAGTGCAAACTGCTGCCATCCATAAGCCATTTTCTCAGAATCACTCTTGGATCTGGGAGGAGGGAGGCAGAAGGTCAATAAGGGAGCAAACTCTTTCTGCTCCTGCTAGTCCTCTGCAGCCTCGCGCCGGTGATCTGGAAATGAATGAAAGGCCGCGATAACAGAGATAAACCCGGGATCCGTGCAGAGAGGAACACTGGGGTTCACAGGCGAGAAACTCGGGGCACAGATTTAATAAATTAAAAAGCAAAAGCAAAAAAAAACCCACCCCAAATCACCTCGGCTAGAGCAGGAACGCACCCCCACCCCCACTTTTGGAAGGGGGAGCCGCTCTGAGACCCGCCGGGCCCCGGGCGAGCCGGGTTCGGAGCGGGGGCGGGGGGGGGGTGGAGTGGGGGGCGCAGGTGCCTGGGGCAGGTGCGGAGAAGGGCAGGGCGCGGGGCGGCAGCGCAGCCAGGTGAGGGCGGCGGGAGGCGGGCGGCGGCGGCGGCGGGGGCCCGGCGGGGCGGGGGCCGGAGGGGGGTGGGGGCGGCCGCGTCGGCCCCGCGCCTGCACACACTCACCGGCGCCGGCAGGCTCGCCTCTCGCCGCCGCTGCTGCTCTCGCGGCCGCCAGCCGCTCTTCCCCCTCCTCCTCCTCCTCCTCCGGCGCCGGCGCCGCCGTCGCCCAGGCCGGGCCGCGCTCCCCTTCCGCTTCCGGGAGCCGGAGCGCCGGGGCCGGTGGGGTGGGTGTGCGCCCGCCCGCGCGCTGGAGCCACCGGCCGCCGCCGTCTCCGCTCCGCTCCCGGGAGCCGCGATGGGAGCCGCCGAGGGCCGAAAGAGCAGAAATCGCGCCGCGGGCGGGAGGAGATGCGCCGCGGCCCGAGGCCGTGTGCGGCGCGGGCCCGCCATCACCGGAACACTCGTACCTGACGCACCTCGGCGCCTCCGCCCTCCCCCGCTGCCACCTTCCCAGCTGTGCCCGGGCCGTCCTTCTCTTTGTCCCCACACCCTCACCGTCCCCCTCTCTGGGGGACTTCAGAAGGGCCTTCCCGTAAGGACTGCAAGTATCCCTCTTCCTTCAGGGGTAATGGCCAACAGGCCTCTGTCTTCCGCTAACGCGTTCTGGATGTCCCCCGGTACCTTGTTTCAAAGTGCGCCCGCAGCATCTGCATCCTCTGGGAACGTGTTAGAAATGCACCACCTCAGATCTGCTGAATCAGGATCTGCATTTTAACAAGATCTCCAGGTGATGCCTACATAGGCACCTCAAATATTGAAAGGCACTGGATTCTAGTGCGTGGTCTTGCCTCTTCAGACCCTCTGTGCAACAAGAGCCAGAGTTGCCCCGGCCATCTGAGATGGGCCATCTGAGATGTTCCCTAGTCCCGTGGGCAACCTCAGTGCATACCCAAACAAGCTTTACTCCGTATTTAAGGAGGCAACCAAAAGTTGTCAGCTTTCCCATCCCTGCAACCTAGGAAAAATAGGTTGACTCAACGTTGTAAACAATCCACCTCCCTAAGTTGGTATCTTATCAAACAGCAGAGACATAACTAAAACCTCCCCTCTCTTCCCTCACCTAAGCCGAACAGTACTTTGGATACGGTACTACAGTGTTTGTAGTAATGTAGGGCTAAATCTTGGTGCCTGTGTGCCACAGGAGGAGATAATGTGTGGATGGAAGAATATTACTTGATGCATAAAATCTGAACTTACAGGATGGCATTGAAAGCCTTTCACAAACTTGTCTCTACTTACCTCTCCAGTCTTAGCTCAAATGAACTTGGTTCGTTTACCCTTCCTAGGATGCCCTTCCTCTTCCTCTCTGATGATCTTTATCCAGACTTGGGAGTCAGTTCAAATCCTGCCAACCGAGAGTACTCTCCCGTCACCGGACTTATATCACACACATGAAGCTTATTTTGGACCCATATGTTACCTTGTATTGCTAGGTATTTTTAAACATGTTGTGTTCCGATTTATGAATCAATTACAAACACCTTAGACCTTAAAGACCTACATCAGTGATTATCATAGTTCTCACACCAGCAGCATCAACATCACCTGGGAACTAGTGAGAGATCCACATTCTCCAGCTCCATCCCAGATCTACTGTATTAGAAACTTCAGGGGTGAAGCCCGGCAATCAGTGTTTTAACAAGCCTTCCAGGTGATTCTAATGCACACTCAAGTTGTAGAGCTACTGACCTGAAATACTGTCTTTTATCCCCAACGGAACCCAATGATCGGGATTGATTTGACTATGTGCAAGTTTTATTGCCTTTCAGATTAAGAAATCAGCTCCTCCATTTATGCGTAACTAGGTTGGGAGGCTGTGACAATTGCTTTTGAAATAATTGTCTTTGGTTTTCATAATGCATTTTATGTAGTAGGATCTTTGTAACTTGGTTTGTTTGAAAAGAAAGAAATAAAGGGGCCCCTGCTTCTGACTCTTGGTTTTGGCTCAGGTCATGATCTCGAGGTTGTGGGATCGAACCCCATGTCTGGCTCTGTGCTCAGTGCGGAGTCTGTTTCAGATTCTCTCTCCCTCTCCTTCTCATTCACTCTCTCTCAAATAAATAAATAAAATCTTAGAAAGAGAAAGGGAAGAGAAGAGAAGAAGGAAAGAAAGAATACAGGGGTGCCTGGGTGGCTCAGTCCTTTAGGTGTCAGACTCTTGATTTCTGCTCGGGTCATGATCTCGAGGTTGTGGGATGGAGCCCCATGTCTGGCTCAGTGCAGAGGATGCTTGAGATTCTTTCTCTCCCTCTGCCCTTCTCCCCACTCATGTTTTCTCTCTCTCTCAAATAAATAAACCGAAGGAGGGAGGGAGGGAGGGAGAGAGGGAAGGAAGGAAGGAAGGGAGAGAGGGAGGGAAGGAGGTAGGGAGGAAGGGAGGGAAAGGAAAGGAAGGAAGGGAGGAAGGAAATATAACTCGTCACTTTGGGCATAGGAGAAACGTGGAGTTTTACTTCCAAAATTTGAGTACCTGAATTGCATATTATTTTGCTCTCTTTTAGTATACTATTGTGAGAAGGAATAATTTTTTGGCAAATGATTTCAACAAGTACCAAAATGAGAATTAGTTGAGTGGCCTGTGAATGCTGTGACAATTGGAAGTATATGTATTTTTCATGCTCTTTGTCATGTGTTAACCTGTCTCTTATCAGCCAGGCCCATTTCACAGAGAATTTTCTAAATAAGACATGGAAGGAGAGAAGTGGCAGGAAAACCATTCTCAAAATCATGATCTTTCTAGCATGGGCACTTAAGAAGTCTAATCAAGGGCCTATCTGTCCCTTACACTGAAGGTCAAGTCATAGGCATGACTGTGTTATGTTGTAATCCATATACTTGACTCCTGTTTCATAATGAAAGGGTAAGGGAGATATGGCATCATGTAATCTTTTTTGAGACGCTTTTCTATTTACGGTAAGGATAGAGAGAAGATATATCTGCTATATTCTCCCTCCAGCGTTCTAGTCTACTTCATCCTTCCTGTGACTAGCTGAAAGATGATTATTAATCAAACTAATATTTATCTGGGAATTGAAAAAGTAGGCAAGAACCAGCAGCATTGCTGTGACTGCCAACTTCACTTCTCCACAAAGGCACAGTCAGGGCATTTATGTGGATAAACTCAGCCAACTAATGTGCTTCTGTGCCGTGACTGGGGAGGACTGGATTTGACTGCAATTTCCAAAAGTCAGTGCAAGTGCAGTCCAGAGTTTAATCAACACTGGCTAATAGCCCTTGGCAGCTTTGGGTGGATGGCGTTCTCCACCTGCCCAGCTGGGTACCATGCCCTAAGCACCCACATTTGATGCACATTCATGATTTCTTGGTTGCTTATACTCATCTCCCCCATCTGTTTGAGTGGCAGAGTGCCCATTCCAGAACAGTCTAATATTCGAAGAGTTGTTCCTAACCTCTTTTGGGTTACACATCTCTTTGAGCATCCATTGAAAGTTAGGGACCCTCTTTCCCAACAAAGTGTGTATGTATACACACAATTATATAAACATGTACATATATATTTATAAATAAAATTTCAGAAGCTGCCCCACCTTCCCATGCCTCCAGAGGACCACAATGAAGTCACGAACATCAGGTTAAGAATCTGCTTTGGGATATGGAGAGTAAGTAAAATAAACTTTTTTTCAGATATCAAAGATAACTCTAAAAACCACTGTGTGCTTAGGAGATAGAACAAAAGCAATGCTAAGCAGAGTTACATTTGGGAGTGCTAAAGAAACAGCTAGTCGTGTCAACAAAATGGTTCAGGAGTGGCTTCATGGAGAGAGGTTCTTGCATCAGGCAAATAAGAACAGGACTTTGGGACAAAGGATCCCTCCCACATAAGGGAAAGGGTGTGCAAAGGCATGGAGATAGGAAGGTACGGCAGTCCATCCAGTGTGGCTCAAAAGTAAAATACATGGAAAGATAGAGAAGAGAATCAAAAGGTAGAACAGAGTCAAATCATGGTGAGCCTCAAATTCAACGCTATTTCCAATGAGGAGCCAATATAAGCTTTTGGAGTAAGGTAACCTGGAAAGATTTTATTAGTGAGTGCCATGGCATCATCAAAATGCAGAACAGTAGAACATTTTAAAAAGTTCTCCATAGGGGCACCTGGGTGGCTCAGTCGGTTGAGCGTCTGCTTTCAGCTTTGGTCATGATTCTGGGGTCCTGGTATCAAGTCCTGCTCAGCAGGAAGCCTGCTTCTCCCTCTCCTCCTTCTCCTTCTGCCCCTCCCCCTGTTTGTGCTCTCTCTCTCCCTCTCTCTCAAATGGGTAAAATCTTTAAAAAAAAAAAATTCTCCATATCCTAAATCAGAACCTATAAGTGAAGCCACATGGCTTCATTTCAACTTTTTAGGGTTGCTTGATGCTTGCTCTAGAGGTTTCTATTAAGCTAAATCAAGATGAACTTGAAATCCTTACAGTTCATTAAGTGCCAGTGAGAAAACATGTCCTGGTGAATGTTCAGGTGAATTTAGAATCCAAAATGCAGAAAGAGTTAAAATTTATTTGGAATTGAAAGCATGAAAATCAACTGGGACCAAAAAGAGAAAAGAAGCCCCATCACTAATCAGGCTGGGAGGAGAGACACAGGTCAAGCCAGCTGCCAGGTTAATAGCAAACACTGTTTCTGCCAAGGTCATGCGGCAGATATAAATTACTATAATGACCCCCTCTTCGGGTGATTACTGACCAGTGATGCCTCAGACCACTTGTTATTTTTATTTATTACTGGGGATACTCAAATGCTCGGCCAACTTCACCTCACGACAGCACCCAGTTCCTAATTAGTTCCCTCTTTTTCTAATCCCACCTCAGTATAACAATCGATCCAAAACTGATCCCTGCTTCCCTTCGACCATCTTCAAAATCCTTCAGTGAAAGCCCAATTGACACTGGGCTCACCCCTCCTCCTTGTCTAGTGGTACTTCTCTGAAGAGCCCTCCCTCCTTGAAGGGCAAGAAATCTGATTTTTGTCCAGCTACAGGCTTGTCCCTGGTAGTCTTTGGCTGATTAGGTTTTAGCAAACCCATTTGATAATGAAAGCCACCCTTCGTCAGAATTCAAAAGTCAGGGCTCTTCAGGAAAGAGGTCTCCTTTTCTCTGTCCGAAGGTAGCTTCAATGAGACTCAGCGGTTTCACACATGGATTCTTCCAAC